TGCTGATTTTGGATAATAGTTGTATATTTCTGTAATCTTTTGATGTAGAAAGTATTCACAGAGCATCTAAAACTTCTAGAGTAAGTGTGCCTGTATCTTTACAAGACAAAAAAAAGAATGGAGTCGAAAGCAGTTTTGAAGTTTCTGTCATCTTCTATGTAGCAGGATGCCAGTGCTTGTGCATGCTTTACTATAATAAAACTATGCCTGGAATAACATTGCAATGCATTAATGGAAATAATGCATATAGGAAAATATCCATATAATTCCCAACAGTCTGTATGAAGTGCCATTTAACCATGCATTTAAAACCATTTTTATTTATAAAATGCTACATGAATGTCTGTCTTTTGTTTCTTTGGTCAGATTTCCACATAGAAGAAGCTGTGGAGTGGCCTGGGTTAGACCTCAAACTTGGTCAAGTTTCTGGGTTGGCTCTGGATGCTGAAAATAACTTAGTTATCTTCCACAGAGGTGACCATGTTTGGGATGAAAAGTAAGTAGATACTTTGCCAACTGGCATGCTAGAAGGTCAAATTTGTGTTTGTAAATCTTCTTAAGAAAACACAAGACAGATTGAAATTCTCTTCCCATTTAAAGTTCAGTTCTTTGGCAGACTCAGAATGGAAGTGGGGACTGGCAGTCCAAGATGATGGGGTTAGTAGATCTTTAGACAGTGAGAATATGTCTCCAGGGGAAAAGAACAGAACATTAGGTCCTTAAACTGTATGGCCATGTTCATGTGATATTCACCAAGATTAATTATCCCTGCTGCTCCGTGTTTTTTAGCAGGACTAATTAGCCTGGGAGAATGATGGTATGATAGAATACTATTAGCACTTGCATTCATGAAAAGCTAGCTGTAGCATATCTTCATTTGTTTTTCTGTTTGCATCCACTGAACAAAATTGGATTGTTACAAGGCACTCTCTCAAAACAGGCTTTGTTCTACTCAATTGATAAAATTTACTACATTTAGTGTCACTCAAAACAAACAAACAGAAGTCCAAACTTTGTCCATTTTTGTAGTGTTTGTGAAGTAATATACTTCAAAGGATATTATTTTAAGAAAAGAACATTCCAAATAAAATATAGTGTCCTTACTTGTGCAGTGTCCTTGTGTCTTTGAGCATAAAAATAATATGTCTAAATGTTTAGATGGGCACTTTGGAAAAAATTCCATGAAATTGTAACAGAATATTATGTAGTACCCTTTTTAAATGTGCCTTTTTCATCTTCTTTCTAAGTGTCTATTCTCCATATATATAACCATAAGGCTAAAGAGTAGGGGTTTTTTCAACTCTGATAAATTCATTTTAAGATAACATAGTTTCTGAACATTAGAAAGGGCAGCTTTCTCAGCCTTATGATAACAAATTATGCTTAGAATACTGTTTTATGAAGCAAAGTAAGTTCATTGGGTTTTTAGCTAAATATAGCAAGATAATTATTTATGTCTCAAGCATTACATCAGCGAGCTTTCCAGGTCAGGTATATAAATAGGCAGTATAAAATTTGGAAGAATGACGCATGCTGCAACTTGAATTACTCAAGCTTCAAGTAAATGTTGATATTGATTGGGGTTTTTTTCATCCTCCTGTGCGTGAATGTAAGTGCTGTTCTTCATGTCATTAAAGAAAGATTGAAAACATATTTGAAAATAGGCTGGCAGGTATATTCATTTCTTCTGAAATGTGTATTTTGGAGTGTCTGGCAATGGAGATAAACTCACAACTGGAGTTTGAGACCAAGTAGTATTTGGAGAGTCTACAGATTTTAAACAAAACAAAACAAAAATAACAGTCCTTAAAATAAATAGTATGTGAGCGTAATGAATCAACCATGTTGACAGACAGATTGAACTTCAGCTTTCTTATGGTGTGCGCACAGAAGGAGATCAGAGCTCTGGTCTGGACTTTGGAAATACACATACCTACCAGCTGTGCTGGGTGACACTACAGGTTCACTTAACTCAGCCCTGTCCTCTGCAGCAGCCATTGTTCATACTCTGTGTATTTCTAGCATGTGATTATCACACTTGCCAGAAGAATGCTTTATCTTATATTTAGTAGTGTTGATATGCACGACAGTCTTGTGTGGGAGGTTGCTGTATTTGCCATCAGGTGGGGACTGAAGTTGGAACAAAGTGAAACTGCCTTGTATATATGACCAAAAGGATTCAGGTCCAGATATGTAACCAAGATGTAAGATGAGCTACTGTTAACTGAAGCTGGTTATGGGCCTTCCATAAAGATAACTACACATGATATATTAATTCATTTCAGAGGGGTTTTGTACACCAGTTTTGTGGGGTTTTTTTAATTCCTGTGGAGAATAGGTTAATCAATACATAGGTAAGCTACTGTTGCAGGAACCCTTTATATCAGATAGGCTAAAACTTTCTTAGGCCTGTTTCTATGCAGTATTGTGACTTTAAAACAATGTATTTGGAAGACATGCCTGTGGTTAAGGTGTTGTTCCATATCTTGTGGCACAGAGAAGGCGGACACAGAGGTGTCTCAGCCAGTCAGCTTTTCCTTATTTATCTTTGGGTATGTCATGGGCATATGGAATAGCCTGGGGACCCTTTCATGGATTGTGCTGAAAAGGAAGGAGTATCAGTGTTCTCATTTTTCAGTAAAAAGGAATAAAAAATGAAGATTTGATAGGGGTTTATTATTACTATTGTATGGTGGAGGGATAATACATTATCAGACTTTTAAGTTAACATTTATCATTAGCTGCAAACACACAAGCTGCAAGCCTGAAAGCCCAGAATTTATTTTATTTTCCTGGTTTCAATGCTTCACCAGCATCATATAGATAAAATTAAACAAAAATTATCGTGCTGTTAAGTGATGCACAAATGTTTCCATTGCATTATTAATATATGCCTTAAAAGCTGGATCCTCATTCAGCTAAATACAGCTGTTTTACAAGGCAACTTCAGTCTGCTTTAGAACGCAACAGCAGTTAGGCAGTGACAAGCCCTATAATACAGTAGCAGCTTTCCAGTGGCTGTAACATTCCTTCTGTGCTTGATTTAAAAAGGAAATAAATCTTTTTAAATAAGTCAGGTTCTTCTACCACATTGTCTCCTCAATTTCAGAACAATCTATGTGCAGTATGTGCTGTTCAGAATGAAAAAATTACATCTATTCAGCTAACTAAGCAATGTATCAGTTGGAAGATACTTTGCATTTTGTGATGAAAAAACTGTATACTATTCATGCAATTTATAAAGGATAGAATAAAGAATATACACTGCATTCTGGTTGCTGCCTTCTTAACAAGCTAGGCAGGTTCATTTAGGCTGAGCACAGTACCACTAGGGTGATGGATATTGATAAAGAATAGTGCTCAGGGTTGTGCTTTCCGGGGTTATGAGATCAGGTGGTCTGTCTGAATTTAATATGTAGCTCACCAGAAGGACATGAGATTTAGCAGTAAATTGTATTAGTGTGAATTAGCCAGCTGAGAAGTAGAAAAATAGCTGTGAAATTACATTGGGGTTTGCAATTAGAAGTAGTGACACATGCAGTTTATTTGTCCTTCAATATCAAACTGATATAAAACTTCAATTTTAGTTGTCCTTCGATATCAAACTGCAGGACCTACTAGAAAACAATGCTGCAGACCAATATGACATACTACAGTAATGTGTTCAGTTTCTTTGGGTTTTGGTCGTGCTTCTTCTAAGCTAACAGTAGTCGGCATAGTTTGTGTTCTCATTTGTCCTCCATCAGTTGAAACAAAGGGATATTGATTACTTGGGAAATTGGCCTCAAATGCTGGGAAGGAAAGAGTGACACTGATTCTGTAGCATGCCAGTCTTCCTTCTAGAAAAGGAAATTTGAGAGGGAGAAGGCACGTAGAAAATAACTCACATAGACTCATTTCTAAGTTTGCTGTGCTTTGGTGGCATAAAACGCCATACAATCTCTTACTTACACTGAAAGCACTCAGTTCCCAGAAGTACTGGATAATTGTTAACAGGGAGTATTTAGAAGTCTCAACAGTACTGGTACTAACAACCAAAATCATAGTAAGGAAAACCAGCTTCTTTTTTTTTTTAAGATAGTAAGTTCTCCAGAGATATAATCTTGTTTTTTGTTTGTTTGGTTGGTCTTTTGTACAATACCTACTGATACTAAGAATTTTTTCTGTGGTTAGCTGTGCTGATTAATAATAATATTAGTAATATCATCAGTCTGCCCAGTGTCAGTTCTCCAGTTTAGGTCATGCATACCTAGAGCAAGAGTATTAGACTCCTTTGAAAATAAAACTGTTTAAAACCAAAGGAACTTGTCACAGATGGTTATTGTCAGTAATGATAAAGAATAAAACAACACCTACTGAACCATGGTCAAAAGCATGTACACATCAGTAGGCCATTTTGTGCCACTGTATCTGCATCTCCCTGTGTCTCCCTACAGCATCATGGCAGAGTTTTTAGGAGGGCTTAGTAGAGAGTTTTAGTAACTATCACCTTGTGCATAACCATTCATAGTCATTACTCATTTCTGTTAGGTATTAAATAAACACTCAAAGATAGTTACCATACATAATGGCAATAGCTAAATATTATTTTTTAATCATAGCCCATGCAGAAACTTAAACACATCCCATCATCGATTTTTCTGGTTATACATGAAGCCAGTATTGCTTTTCCTCATTGAAAATTCTAGACATATAAATATTTAATATTATGAAGAGGAGAGGCTGCTGGGACTGTACAATATAAAGTTTTAATAGCTTCATCCATAGCCTTCTCTGTGACTATAAAGTATGTTCTTGTTTACTGAGTTGCATCAACCATAGCTGGATTTCTCTTGGGATTAACAAATGGATTTAAAAATACAAGGTGGGAGCGGGGGATATTACTTATATTCACACATTTTTCATCCACAGCGAAATACCATTTTCTAACATTTAGGCTTACATTTTGTTTGAAATATTTTACTCTCTATTTACGTTCACTAAATGCTGAACCTGTATTTCAACAGGTCAGAGTAATAGCCAGCTTCCCCAGAGCGGTACAGACAACCATATTTTTATTCTTTGTTAAGCATATGATATTTTATGCCTAGTAAATGTCTTTTGGACAATTAATCCTGGTTCTTAACGTCTGAATGTTTAAATGTTGCTTATTTTAATGTATTCTACATACCCTTAAAATTGAGTGTGGAGTTGTGGGGTAGAAGAGAAACACATCATATCTAATAGTTTCCTGCAAGCACTCTCTGAAAAAGGTAAAAACCTTCAGACCTGTATCTTTAGTAAGCTTTAGCAAAATATTAAATTGTGGTTGGGGAAAAAAGAAAAAAAGACAGGCAAAGATGCACAGACTGCCTTAGACAGTTCAGAGTATACTTGGTTTTACTGGCAATTATGCCCTGGTGAATAGATGTATTTTTACTTAGGATACATTATTTGAATTCCCATTTCTGATTTGCCATGGCAAAGAAGATTTACAAAAAAGAGGTTTTTGCTTGCTTACTTTAGGATTATCTTAATTGTTGTTGTGTTGATTTGGTGCTCCTTTAGTTTGGAAATCATGACCTCAGTGGGAAATGCAGACACCCAACGCTAAATCTTAAAATTATACAGTAATGCAATAAAGCTTATTTAAAGAAAAAAGAAGGCTATAACCCTACACTGGAATTAAACTACAGAACTTGGCTTTAAGTTGCATCTGAACTATTCGTCAGTGTAACCTTCTAATGGTAGCTTTCTGTACCAATATTTTTGTGTAGTTCTTTTGACAGCACATTTGTTTATCAACAAAGAGGACTTGGACCAATTGACCAGAACACAATTCTTGTCCTGAATCCAAATAATGCAAAACTGCTTCATTCCTTGGGCAAAAGCCTGTAAGTTATTTTTGCTTTTATTAATCAAACTAACATTTCTTTGTATTTCACTCCATAAGTGCCCCCAAAGCCATTTTCACATATTTTATATTACATTGTGTGACTGTAGCCTGTGAGTTTATTAATTATTACAAAATCAACAACTAATAAATGTAATTTGCCATCTTCCCATCTCTGTTTTCTAGCAATTCATACAATTTCATCTGCCACCCAGATTAACAAAAATAGAGAGCTCATGAGTATCATATGTTGTCCTTAAAGATGCCAAATACTAGCCTGAGTGAAATGGCAGAGATGAACTGAATTTCATAGTTGAGACTCTCTTGTCAAGAAAATTCTATTCTGTGAACTTACTGTTTTCAGTAAATACTACAAGTAGTTAGTATGTACAGTATTTGTTGATCTGTAGATAAAAAGTGAAATCTTCACATCTACATTACTCTTCCCGAAAGATGTTTTTAACTTGATTCTTCTACCTTTGTGCTTGCAGATTTTATTTACCACATGGTTTGAGCATGGATAAAAATGGTAACTACTGGGTCACTGATGTAGCTCTCCATCAGGTATGTTTACATTAGCTTTAATACTAGGATCTTAATATTTTGCCAAAAAACGGTTTTGTTTTCCTAGAGACTTGACACAAATTATTTATTTAGGCCTGTTAAGATAAACATTAAGAATATGCCTACAAAATGCCAACCCCTGTGGCCTTCATGAAATATAGTTGTGTTGAATTATTTGCTAAATGGACATAGTATTCGGAAATAAAAGTATCTGTTTTAAAAAATTGATTCTTTTGAGAAATAACAGATTTTTCTGCTACATCTTTGCTTATCAAGTCTCTATACTTAAATCCAAAATGTGAAACTAATTCAATTTGCTGTAATCACAGGAAATTTATACTTAGGCAGGAATTTCCTAGAATCAAGACTATTGAAAAACTGGTAATGATGTCATAGTCAACATACGACGATCATGTTTGGTATATAAATTTATTCTACACACAGTAACAGGTATTTTCAGAAAGGCAGTCATCCCTCTTATATTGCACCTTCTATAACGGAAACCTCTTTTCTTTCCCCATTGACTAAAAACAAAAAGGTTTTCAAACTGGGACCAGATAGCAAAGAACCGTTACTGACCTTAGGAATCGCTTTGCAACCGGGCAGTGACAAAAATCATTTCTGTCAACCAACTGATGTGGCCGTGGATCCAAACACTGGCAGCATTTATGTCTCTGATGGCTACTGTAACAGCCGAATCATTCAGTTCTCTCCGAATGGATTGTACGTGATGCAGTGGGGAGAAGGTACAGATCAGAGCTGTTGGTACTGCTGTTATCATGAACTCATCATGAACCATGAGATTGCTGATGTTACTGTTACTTTTATTTATAAATGTGTGTTACTGAAATACCTTCCAGGCCCTAGCTGAATTCCAGCTTAGTCGTTGCATTGCAATTTTCTCTCTTCTATTCATACAGCTACTTGTAGTAGTTATATATTCACTAAAGATAAAAAATGGGAATTTGTTAGCATGCTTTCAAGTACAAGTATTGGCGTGTCCTATCTTATCAAGAAAATGGCCTGACTTTCACAGAAAAACTTTTTTAAAGACTTGATCAATAATATAAGCCTTTACAATTTTTGCAAGATTTATGCCATGATCCCGTCTAATTTAATTTTTATGAATAATTACATTTCTGCCTGACTCAGATTTATGTATCAAGCATTAAACTACTCCAAATATTAAAGGGAAATAGCGAATTCATAAATTCAGGATTTACAATGATTACCACAGTTTACTTATGTAAATGAGTAAAACTGCTAGAAGAAGAGAGCAAACTGATTTTATTCTTTTCCCAATATTATATTACATTATGTGACATATTGCTGCTTCTAAGCAAAACTGATAGTTCCGGTATGTACTTTAACACAAACCTTGATATTTTATATTGCAGAGACTTCTTTAGGCAGAGCCAAACCTGGACAGTTCCATATCCCTCACAGCTTAGCTCTGATCCCCGACTTCAGTCAGCTGTGTGTTGCTGACAGGGAAAACAGTCGAATTCAGTGCTTCAGGTTAGAGACTGGGGAGTTCATAAGAGAGATCAAGCACAAGTCATTTGGAAGAGAGTTGTTTGCAGTTTCCTATGTTCCAGGTAATCTTTTTTCCCATTCTTCAGATTTCAAGTAGTTGCTTTATGCCAGTGTTATTGCAGTACAGTGTTACTTCATACAGAGTGCTATCATGTTATCTTAGGCCAGCTATTTATTCTCTTTCAAAGTAGAGCTGATCCGATGTAAAGTGGGAGAACTATCCTGTTTTCCTACTTCTGAGATGAGGGAAGTTTGCATATAATCTCTGCTTCTGAGAAATGAGTGATTAGACTCCCTTATTGTTACGTCAACAAGTGGGTGATCTTGTTTGCTTCCTAGTGACTGCACAGTCAATAATTAGTTAATAATGCTTTAAAAATATTTTAAACATTTTAAGCTCCATTAAAGAGTGGAAAACAAAGAGATTTCAAATTATCAAGAAAAGTTTTGGATTTCATAAAAAAAAAATTAACAGTTTGAAAAATTTGTGTTTTTTAATATCACAATTTGGCTAACAATTACTGGAATAAGTTTTGGAGTTAGATTTTTCCTACTGGCACTGAAGGTAATGTAAATGTCAAGAACTGGACAAGGAATTTTGGCATGTCAGGCTGACTGTAGTTAGTATGAAATGTACAATCAGGGCTGTCCCTCTTACATCTGCCAAGAACATAAGAAATGCTCTACTGGATAAGATACTTGTTACCTATAGATGTGTCTCTGACAGTGGCAGCACCAGAGGCTTTCTAAGGAGAATATGTAAGTCTGGCAGCATTTTGTGGTCCATTCCTGTGCTGTTCCTCATGCATCCAAATCATTTTATTTAAGGGTGTTAGGAGGTAGCTCCTGACCTCATCTTCATAGTATCTTTCTACAGATCTACTGCCTATGAGTTTTCCTAATCCCATTTTGAACTGGCTTGTACTGTCTGCCCCCTTGACCTCCTGCAGTTACCGGCTGCAGAAGTTCACTACCCACTTTATTTTTTTAATCTAAAAAAGTGACACAGTTTCATGGAGTGATTCTCAGTCCCAGTATTTTGGGAGTTGGTGAAAAACACTTCAGCACTCCCTGTATCTGTTGCTTTTTAGCTTCTCCTCTCCAAACCAAAGAACTCCAGCCACCTTAATCTCTCCCTAAATGCCATTAAATTGTTTCAGCTCATTGCCTATTGTAGTTGCCTTGCTCTTCTACCATCTTTAACTTCATTAGGACTTTCTTGAGAGGCAGAGTAAAAGAGTCTCAAGACTTTCAACTACCCTGCAGGACTCAGTACCTTTCTCAGACTGGGAGATGTCTCTGATCACCCCATTTTTCAGGTCACTGATGAAGACTATTGAATGAAATTGTTTGCGATCCCTGCAGGATTGCACTACACAGATTTCTCTATCCTGAAAAATTACAAGCTCTGCGCTTAAGCTCTGTACTTTGCTTCCTATTCATTAGTGGGTCTTTTCATGCAGCCCTGTGACAACTCACATTCTTTAATAACTTCTGATGCAAAAGCTTGTCAAAGGTTTTCTGAAAATCCAAGTACGTCTACAGAATCTCCTTTACCTGTATGCTTTTTCTTGCCTTTTAGAGGGGAGGCACAATTTCCCCTTAGAGAAAGACATACCAACTTGTTTCCAACAGGCCACATGGGTACATGTCTTATTCTTCATTATGGTTTCTACCATCTTACTGGGCATGGAGGCCAGAATTGCTGATGTGTAGTTCCCGGGCACCATTTTGAACCCTTCTTGTTAGGAGGGCATTACCTTGGCAGTCTGCTAGTCTTCTGGAGGAGTGGCTGTTTGCAGTGCTGGGTTACTCAGCTTGGCCTGAAGTCTGTAATTTCACGTTCGACTTCCTTCTGAACTTGAGTGAATGCCATCCAAACCTGGTGAATTATTAACCCCCAACTTGTGTAACATCTTTTACGTATCTCCTTCCAGTTGAGCTGGCTCCTCTGACCTATTAGCTAGAAAAAAAATTGAGTGTCAGAATCTCCCCAACACATTCAACAGAAAAAAATTACAAAACCTGAGCTTCTGTGCCACAGGCCCTCATCAACCTGAGTCACCCTTTCACACCTTTTCCTCTTGTGGTCCCACTGATTCCCTATCTGGCTTTCTTCTTTTGATGCATTTAAAGAACTTTACATTATCCAATCAAGCATCCTTAGCAAAGCATTCTTCAAATAGTTCTTTTTTTTAATGCTTTCAAGTTCTTTTTTTACATTTAACTTATCTGTAACATATTGCTTGGCTTGTTCTTCTCATTTGAACAAAACATGCATCTTTTAAATGCCAAGCTTTCACCTGCTATACCTTGCTTAACTTTCCTCTTGTGATTTAATTTTCTATTGAGTTGACAGCCATTTCAGTCTCTCTCTCTTTCTCTCTTGGCCATGCTTTTTTCATCTATACTATTACAATTCATCTTGACTGTTGTTCGTTATGAGTGCATTGTTAAAGTAAATCTGATGTTGTTGCAGGTCTCCTCTTTGCAGTTAATGGAATGCCTTACCCTGGAGAGTCAGAGCCAGTGCAAGGATTTGTGATGAACTTCTCTACTGGAGAAATAATTGATACTTTTACTCCACTTAGAAAGGTAGAGTATTGCACAAAGTGCCTGGTGCATATAATAACATATATGAAAATGTCCGTAGCATCCTACTTCTCCAACTTTCTTAAAACTGTTATAGGAAATAAGGTATTTTATAATGTAAGATATTCAAAAGGAATTCTTTATCATCTTGATTTAGTAAGACACTAGAATTTTGGGTCTTAGTTACTACATGTGGTACACATTTGAAAATTATACTACCCTCAAGATGATTCTTACAGATAATACCTTCATTCAGGAAAATGTTTACTTTATTGCTGTCAGACAGTTCTTAAAAGCTAGTTTAAGAGAAGAATGAATGGCTTGATATATATTTAGATGATAGTAAATTGACAAAAAATGGAGTATATTTCTAAGCAAAATAATATTCAACCATATGGTTACATCCATTCTTTACAGAAGGTTAGTTTGGAATTTGAGGCTAAATGTCATTCATACAAAATTGTACATGAAAAATTATGTTTATTAAAAAAAAAAAAAATAATTTCCATAGATTGTCTCAGACTAAAGAATGAATGTGAAGATTCCCATTTCTGGGTTACACATATATTCTGTTATTTGCAGTCGAGTTTTAAATTATATTGCAGAGAGGGTTTTATTCCCAAGTACAGCAAATAGCTGTGTTGCATACAAACTCTGACAAAAACTAAATATGTTTAGACCAAGATTCATGATTTTTTGAATATTTTCACAGGATAAAATTGAATGCAAGAATATATCTATAACTTATAAATATTATAAATGCTATACATACAAAAATTGTTTAGTGTGAATACATTGAATAATCACCATGTTGTTATCCTTGGAGAAGGGAAACATACCATAGAAATTGTATTCCTCTCCCTTGACTCATGTTAGGCCTTCACGCCAGCACCTGCTGCATTTTCCAGTCTAAGGACTGAATATGACCAGTCTCAAGTTCAGGATTAAGGAGGCCTCCTGAACATGTAGACACTGAAGAGTAATCTGTGACTGCTTATCTTCACAGAGATTTGAGATGCCACATGATGTTGTTGCTTCAGAAGATAAAACAGTATTTGTTGGAGATGTTCATGCCAGAGCAGTGTGGAAGTTTGCATCCACAGAAAGTATGTCCTTTTTGTTCTTAATGTCACAAGTTCACATTCTGCATCTTCAAATCAGTTCCACTTAGCTGGTACCACTGGCCAAAAACTTGTTGGCTTAATGACAATGATTTAAGTACCCTACAAGCTCTGCCTGCAGAAGTTGTGTGCTGCTGCTCTGTTTGCATTAAAAGACCATTCTTAGCATTGCTGCATGCCTTATCAAACAAGCGTCCTGAATGCATGCGTTTGTTTGTCACAGGAAAAATCAAAATGCATTTGTCTTGTGGTACATCTGTCCCTTGTCATGTCACTACCTACTTAAACAATAGCACAACTCTTCAGCATTTTAGTAATTTTAATGTATCATTTGATGAGAAGTCAACTGCTTCCATTGAGGTTATCAGACAGGAAACTCCAGGGGCTGAAGTGAAAACACAAGTCAACTTAAAATTTATATTCATTTCACTGGGGCTCTGTATCATTAGAAAATGAATCTAGGGTAATTTGAAGTCCTATTTCCATGAAGTGGAAACACTTTCCAGTTCTAATCTAGTAGCCCCCAAGGCAAGCAGCCTGACTTCAAGTGAGAGGGACCTGATTAGTCAAACATCAATTTAGTAGGATTCAGAGAGAGTTTAGATATTTTACAGGAATAAAAATATAATCCACTGTTACATTATACTGGATAAAAAACTATGAGAGAGATAAAGCCTCAGGCTTTGGGGTGTTAGTCAACCAGTAAGACCCTGCTGTTATAAATGAACTTCTGACTAAGCTAGTTATTCTGTATTTGTCTGGTTATAATTCATGGATTTTCCTTCGGGGCATCTGGTATCAGCTGCTCTTAGTTAACAGGAGACTGGACCACATAAATTGTGATTCTGACTGGGTATGTCTTTTTGTGCATATAGTAACCTGAACAAGAAAAATTCTGGGCTTTTATTTAAAGAAACATGAGAATAAAATAATAATGGAATTATTCATCACTTAAAGATTAGATGAGTAAATTCCTTGTATATAATTTTCTTTTTAGCTTTATCTGCGATATAAAACTGCAGTAGCTAAGGAGCCGTGGTTCAGCCAGCCTTTAATCCATTGTGATTTTGATTATAATGAACGTTCTTATTTTTGTGGGACTCCCTGAACCTTTACACATGCCCATAAAACCTCTCTGTGGCATAAGAGTTAATTACTGCAAACACCTTCCATGAATCAAGCTCTTTCTTATTTCCATGGCCTTGTGAGCTATTGAATCATTTATATTGACTCTTCTTGGTGAAGCTGATGGGATTGTTTACTGTAGGATTGTACTGAACATTTGAGAAAGCTAGCAGGGAAATGTCACTGTCTTTCTGAAATGTCAGTTGTCCTGAAGAATAATTTTGTTTTACAGAAATGGAACATCGGTCAGTTAAAAAGGCTGGTATTGAGGTACAGGAAATAAAAGGTTAGTCTGATTCATAATGGAAATGAAGAAACCAGTATTTCACATAGACTAGGACTGCTTCTGCCAAGTTGGAGGCAAGAATGCTATCTAGTTTGACTGTTACTTTTCACCATCATTTCATACAGATATAATGAGCTGGCACAGGAAGCACTAGAAAGCAGCTTGTAGCAGTGTTACCTAGTAGAGGCTATTTTACAGTCAATCCAAACATTTCATTTTTGGTGATGACAAGTGCTTCACAGACACTAAGATAAAAATTTAACTAGTGGATTAATGCCGTACCACCATCTGGTATGGTCCAGATTGGTATCTCTGTCAGCTCCCTTTAGATGCAGAAATAGCTCTGAAATGTAACTGTGATAGTTACACACCCCCGCCACCCAGCATCCTTCCCACTGCTCCACAACCCTCTACCAAAAATCTTGCTTAAAATGGCAATTGGTTCATCTTTCTGCAGTGTCTTTCAGTACGCAGCCTTGCCAGGCATACCATATGGCAAAAACCCCAATTTTTTCTGTTTATATTTATTTCCCTAGACTTACTGTTTGGTGGGGGTTTTTTTAATTATTTATCTTCATGAAAACGAAAAGAAAAAGGGAAACAAAAAGAAAATAAAAACATGTAGAAACTTACTATAAGGAGATAAAGAAATACACATAGAGGAGATCAAAAGGGGTGATTTCGGAAGATGAGAAGTAGTTTTATCCTTTTGTATCATTACATTGGTCCTTTATGTTGAAAAGAAAGAGTTCATTTCCCTTTCATAAAAACAGCACCAGTCTGTTGAGAGGTCTCTATAAAACGCTCACGTTCTCAAATGTTTTTGTTTGGTTGAATCAGAGCTTGTGTGATTTGCTTTAGCCATGTATACACAGACAGAGGAGAATACCAGCAGATCCCAACTGGCAATTGCAAGCATATAGAACAAAGTAGAATAAAGGAGGCAGAGATTATAAAACAATTAAATCCTTATTGCCAAAACAGTTATCCTTCTGTTTTAGCTCTGTTGATACACTAGCCCTACTGAGGCACTTAAAAGGGAAGTGTTCACAATACAGCATTCACATTACAACAAATCTAAGGATGTATTAAGAATGCATTTTGGCTTACTTAAGGAAGATAGTATGCTAGCTAATGGTCCTAATGCTACAGAGAAAACCGCAGTAGTACCACCTGAAAACAGTTTTTAAGTAACAAACTCTCAAACTGTTTAGGATACCTGTACTGAAATTAACATCTTTCAACTCCATTTGAAGAAAGCAGGTGACCAATGGACTTTGTGCAATCCTCTGCTTAATAAATGAGCAGGAGTGGCCTGCACTGTCGCAACCTCCTCGTGGCAGGCTGTTATTATTGCTTGCACTGCTGAGATGTGGGGGACTGTGGAGACTCGGGAGTTCTCCTATGTGGATAACGATAGTTTTGCTCAGAGGTGGGCAAGACAGTGGAGGAAAGTTGCTCTTGGCTGTAAACTACTACTTGAACAGACAGGACTATCATTGTTATCACTGTATTAGTATGTTCAGTGTCAACTGAAGCATTTGCTATTCTTTCAGAATAAAACATCATTTTAAGTTTGATACAAAATCAAAACAAGAGTTGATTCAAAGCATGTTCCTGACGCAGCTACTTAGAACATGTAGCTATCATGATTTAAGCCCAGTCGCTAACTCAGAACCATGCAGCCACTTGCTCATGCCCCTCCTTCTTCCTCCCCACTCTCCTTTGGGCGGGATGGGGAGAAGAATCAGAGGAATGTAACTCCCACGGGTTGAGATAAGAGCACTCCAGTAACTAAGGTATAATACAAACCACTACTGCTACCACCAATAATGATAATGATAAGGGAAATAACAAGGGGAGACAATATAAAACTAAAAAGGGAAAGGGAGGAAACCAATAAACACGAGTGCTGCACAGTACAGTTGTTCACCACTCGCCAACCGATACCCAGCCCAACCCGAGCAGCGATCTGGGCCTTCGGGGTAACTCCCCAGCTTATATACTGGGCATGACGTGCTGTGGTATGGAATACCCCTTTGGCCAGTTTGGGTCAGGTGTCCTGTCTCTGCTTCCTCCCAGCTTCTTGTGCCTGTCTTCACTGGCAGAGCATGAGACTGAAAAGTCCTTGATTGGGGTAAGAATTACTGAGCAACAACTAAAAACATCGGTGTGTTATCAGTGTTGTTCCCAGACTAAAGCCAAAACACAGCACTGCACCAGCTACTAGGAAGCAGAAAAATAACTCTTACAGCCAAACCCAGGACAGCAGTTAAATCAGACTTTAAAATATATACCTACATGGATTTACTCATTAAAAGTTAGCACAAAGCATGTGATTCTTTATGCACATACAAAACAGTGTAGAGGATTTTACTGAAATTGGTTTTCTCCTCGTAGGTGGAGAGGTGATAAAGTAGTCAGGAATGCTTAGGTGCAGTTTTCAAAAGTTCTCCAGACTTTGAGAGCCAAAGTTCTCTCACAGGATGTAGCAGTTTGGAAAATTTAACCCTTTGTCACAAGTTTTATTAAAAAGAACTTTAAATGCTTTCCTTTTTGTTTATGACACTACATCATACACTGGATTTCTGCATTACTTGTGGAATTGTTATTATTAGAATGAGATATTTATTTGGCATTACATCACACACCTACTTGCAAAAATAGATCTTTTGGGGATTTTCCTGTATTTTAAATGATAGATACTTTTTAAAACTAAACTCTCCCTGACACCTCTCCTTTCCCCACTGAGAAAAAGGGAAGGCATCTTTGCTAGTGAGTGATATCATTCAGACTCTCTCTGCCTTACTTTGGGATAACATGTCTCCATAAGTGTTTTTCCTTTGTTTCCTTGTTACTTCTTGTTATACACCTCCAGTATTCTAGCTTGTTCTTTAATGCCTTGTTCTGTTGCTTGATGCAAATGGATTACATGCTGAAATTGTCTTCTCTTTAAAGAATCAGAAACAATTGTAGAAGGCAGATTGAAAAACAACCCAGAATCAACAGACCCTGTAAAGAAGCAGGAAAAACAACATTTAGTCCAACAACACACCAGCACTGGCGTTTCATTTGTTCTTATTACAACTCTTCTAATTATCCCTGTTGGTGTCCTGCTGGCAATTTTATTATTTATTCGGTGGAGGAAGACAACTGTCTGTGGAGGTAACCGTGAGTAACTCTAGAGAACAGGCTTCTATTGCTGCAGTTCAAAACATTGCTGAATACTGAGGCATGAGGTAATGAAGAGAGAGACAGGCTTACTGTCCCTTTACCCTTCCAAATAGTTACTGTGACACTGCGTGCAAACTAAGAATCAGTGTGCACACAGCACACAGCAACCCCTTACGCCTTTAACACTACATCTCAAGCCACCACCTTTTCAGAACATGTATCTAAAACTTTAACTGGTATCAAGCCAAAAATTTGTGTCTGAGAAACGAGATAATTAGAATATATTCACATTATAAAATTTATGTCTAGAATACATAAATTTTAATACTCCAAGCATAGTTTGATTTGCAGTTTGGGATCTTTAAATTTTTGAGAACAAGGGGCTCTCAAGTATAAGCAAAAGAGAAGGCTGCGTGGAGACCTCATAGCAGCCTTCCAATATCTGAAGGGGGCCTAAAAGGATGCTGGGGAGGGACTCTTCATTAGGGACTGTAGTGGTAGGACAAGGGGTAATGGCTTTAAACTTAAACAGGGGAACTTTAGGTTAGATATAAGGAAGAAGTTCTTCACAGTGAGAGTGGTGAGGCACTGGAATGGGTTGCCCAAGGAAGTTGTGAATGCTCCAACCCTGGTGGTGTTCAAGGCCAGGCTGGACAGAGCCTTGGGCGACATAGTTTAGTGCGAGGTGTCCCTTGCTCATGGCAGGGGTGTTGGAACTAGATGATCTTAAGGTCCTTTCCAACCCTAACTATTCTATGATTCTATACACAAAAGTATAAGCAAAAAGCAAACAGATAACATATACAAGGGATTATATATTATTGTTCATTACTACCTTGTGCATTTTGTGAGTCAGATACCGTAATGGACCTCTACCCATTGCTGTGAGAGCTTTAATCGGTACTTACAATGCTATGTAAATTTGTTGTTAGTTCATACTCTATAGTAAATTATTTCTGAGAAAATGGTATACTGCAGTAGGAGTCTGATCATGATACTCTGTATTGCATAAATAGCTTTATCAAGATAGTCCCATCAAGAAAAGAAAATGTACATGGAATAGACAAATAAAATAGTTCTGCTACTGTCTAGAACATACTATGGCAGATTCAGTAATTCAGCGATCTTATATTGCTGTGCATCTGAATTGGATGTATTTTATATGAAGATTTCAAATAAAATCTTCCTAACTCTTTGTGTTCAAACATGTTTAGCACATCAGATATGCTAACACTCTAGACTACTGCAGTACTGCCATTAATGGATATGATATATGGTAGCGTCTTTGCATTCCAGTTGGATTCAAGCAGTGTTTGAATTTACTGTCTCAAAGAGCATGATGCAGTTACACTGGTAAAAGTAAAACTTCTTGCACAGATTTATGGAAACTGCATAGTATATAAGAAAAGACAGATCGGTCATGGCATTCAGTTTTTCTTTAGGTGGAGGATGGGATGAGGTACCAGGGAGGAGGATAGATGCAGTGTCTCAGGAGGGGGGAGAGAAAGTTCCTCAAAAATACCTGAAGAAATTCACTGTCTTCCAGAAAAACAGTCTCCTCTCAAGGAAAACTGTATCATTTCAAATGTCAAGCTGCATTTGCAGTGTGGTGCAGTGTCGTTGTGCACATTATAAATAACAAGGTTATTGTCCTTCCTGTAAACTCTTCATAGTAACATAAGTGAACAGTTGAGGGAATTAAATTCTCAGAAGTATCTTGCATGTGAATCTTCTTAATGGTTGAATTGGCATAAACCGTACATCTGTGGTATGGTGATTTTGTTAGGACTTACAATTTCACCTTAATCAAGAAACTGAAAAGTATCAGTTTTGCTTCTTAGAGCTGCTGATAAATTTGTTGAATGTCTGTGCTTTGTATCATAAATAATTATTTAATTAAGTTTCATTTTGTGGGTTTATATATGGGTTTGTTTGTTTTTTTTATTTTTTTGGTTATTTTTGAAATCTACTTTGTTTTTCAGGTGATGGGGAACACAAACTTCATTCAAGTTCAGGAATAATTTTAGGCAGACTTAGAGGTAAGTCTGAGTCACTTAGGATCTTTTAAGAACAATAACTGGAGGCTTTTTTCTATCCAATTCTAGTTGAATAACAGATTTGATGGAACATTCTCAGGGAAAGGATGGGGGCAAACCTCAGGTGTTTTGTGGAAATGTCTTCTATGACACCTTTCATCCGTCATTATCTGCCCACTGAAAAGGATGTGTCACTACCAGTGGGAGAGCAGTACCTGTTATAATGTGTTATCTAAATCTGGTGAAGGAAATTAAGCACTTTGAGACGAAGGGCAAACTGTTGGGAACACAAGTAGGCTACCTAAAGAATTAGTGAAACAACGGATGCTGTTTGAAACTTCTACTTAAAAATTAATTTTCTTTCTCTTTCATAATTTCTGTACCTAGCTTGTGCAGCTTATGTGCTGATCTTTAAGAACAATTTCTGTAAGGACACATAAAATAATCTCCATTATCCTGTTGAATGAGTAGGTAGATTTTTATTCCCCCGTAGAGTAAAGCAAACCTTACAACAAGCCTTTCTTTTCCACAGGGAAAGGCAGTGGTGGCCTTAACCTTGGGAACTTTTTTGCAAGTCACAAGAGCTACAGTCGAAAAGGGTTTGACCGAGTGAGCACTGAAGGCAGTGATCAAGAAAAAGATGAAGATGAAGGCACAGATTCAGAGGAAGAGTGTTCACCTCCACCCCCACCAGCACCTTCATCCTCCTGAAACCAGCCTTTAAGTTCTCCATTATACAATTCAACCCAAAAAGTCATATTCCTTTTCCCTTAAGCACGTTTAAGATTTTGTGTATTTAATTGTAAACTGTACTAGTCTGTGTGGGGCTGTACACTGGTTCCTTAATTTTTGTTTGGTTTTAGTTCTGTTTTTTAAGTAGAGGAGTGTATGAAAGTTCCATATCAGTGCTGTTGTTTTTTATGTGAGCATCTTAATAAAGCAAAGTCTCTAATCGCAGCACTGATTTAAAGCAGTAGTATTTTCTCATTTTAAACTGGGGATCTTGTAAATAAGTCATACTATCTGCTTCATCAAAATATTTTTCCTGTAACTATTCAGTTGCCAATTTCTGTTTTGTGCCTTTCCTCTTCAATGTCCTTAACCTGTTGCAGTACAGAGAAAATACAGTGCCACAAGAAAATAAAGCTGCTAAATCTTCTTCTATTTTTTTAAAATCACTAACATTATATTGCATTGAAGGAAAGAAAAAAGTCTCTATTTAATTTTTTTTCTTCTTCCAAACTTGATGTGTTTCTGGGATGTCTTATTTTTAGATGGTATCACTGTTAGAACACTATTTTCAGAAGCTGAATGTAATTTGTGTAATAAAGTATTTGCAAAGCATTAGCTGTCGGAGTGTGCTTTGGAATTTTTGCATATTTCAGGTTTTTTATACACCACTTTTGTAAAAGTTACACAGATCACTTAATGCAGTAAAAAATCTTGATGTGTTTCTGGGATGTCTTATTTTTAGATGGTATCACTGTTAGAACACTATTTTCAGAAGCTGAATGTAATTTGTGTAATAAAGTATTTGCAAAGCATTAGCTGTCGGAGTGTGCTTTGGAATTTTTGCATATTTCAGGTTTTTTATACACCACTTTTGTAAAAGTTACACAGATCACTTAATGCAGTAAAAAATTCAATGTTTTTTTTGGGGGGGAACAATTAAAAAAAAAGTGCTATTTTGTATGGAAGCTGGAAAAATATTCTGCTATGTTACGAGGTTTTCTTTTTAGAGACTGATAATTTACATACACGTACAAAGTCAAGCTGAAAGAGGAGTTTTACTTGTATAATAAAACTGCGGGGTATTTACTTTAATAAAACCTGGTCAGAGCTGAGAGGAAACCTGTGCCTCACATTAAAGATGCAAATGAGCCAGGGCAGGTACCTGATCTGCAGTGCTGACTATCGCGTTTCTCCGCGGTCCCCCGCTCACCGGTAAGGCAGCAGCCCTGGGCCCGTGATGCGCTCGCATTGGGTGACCTGCCGCACGATTGCTGTGTGACCGCATGAGTCACACCTGAAGTGTGAATCACTGCGTGACGTCACCGTGGTGATTTATGGGTCTCGTTCGGGGACCGGAGCGGGATTAATCTGCTGCATTAGGAGCACAGTGCACGCAGCTGTTAATGCCACAGGAGTTTATGAGACAGCTTTCATTATCGTCATTGCAGGTGTTGGAACAGGCTGGTGCTGGCGGTGAGCTTGAAAAGCAGGCTTTGGGTTTCTTGTGGCAGCAGGTTTCGCAAGGTGTTGTTTGAGGCAGAAAGGGTAACAGATTTTCTCCTCCAGCAAGATTTTATAAATCTCCTGTTTCTGGAACAAAAAAACTTGAAATACCTGACAGGCTGCTTTTTCTGAAGTAAAATCTCCAGGATAGCTTTCAAAAATGGTGGGGCACAGGCTCAGTTTCACGTGAGAGGTATTTAGTGCATACTCTAAATTGCTTCCTCTTCTGCTAATCTCTGTTTTCCTAATGTTACAAGAAAAATGGCCTGTTTCCGTCTCACTTTTGAAAGCAAGGCAATGCTACTTTTATCTATCTGTGACACTGATCCCCTTATATATGAATAAAACCACATAAGGTAGCTGGGAAGGATCTTCTAAAGCTGTCTGCAAATATGACAAGTCACTAGTTTACAGTAAGTTTTCAATGAGGGCAATAAGAAAGCAGTGCTATACACCACTGCTCTGATAGCTGGAGGATGTGACATCAGTTCTAAAAGATAACAGCTTCTCTCAAAAGCCATTGATATATTTTTCTAACATTTGGATAGCTCACATTATGTCTACACTGATGCTGAATGTTCTCTGCTTCTGCAGCTAGGTCAATGAAGATAATACGTAGTTGCCTCCTTCCTGCTTTCCTTTATTTAATCCTTATCTCCAATCAAAAACAAATAAAAAAAGCTTTGTTGAGGGGGGAGTAGCCAAACAGTTTAATTGCAAGTACAAGCTAAAACGGGTTAATTCAGCATCAGTCATAATTTCTGCTCTCTGAAATTCTGGTCTCTACAGTAATCCTGGCCTACATAAAGAGGAAAAAGCCAAGGGAGGGGATTCTCCCCCTCTGCTTCGCTCTCTGACAACCCCCTGCAGTCGTGCATTCAGCTCTGGGGCAGCAACACGAGAGGGACATGGAGCTGTTGGAGCGAGTCCAGAGGAGGCCACGGAGATGCTGCAAGGGCTGGAGCAGCTCTGCTCTGGAGCCAGGCTGAGAGAGCTGGGCTGGTTCAGCCTGGGGAAGAGAAGGCTCCTTAAGGGGAGACCTTAGAGCAGCTCCAGTGCCTAAAGGGGCTACAAGAAATCTGGAGAGGGGCTTCTGACAAGAGCCTGTTAGGGACAGGACAAGGGGAATGGCTTTAACCTGACAGAGGGGAGACTGAGATGAGATCTTAGGCAGAAGTTCTTCCCTCTGAGGGTGCTGAGGCCCTGGCACAGGTTGCCCAGAGAAGCTGTGGCTGCCCCATCCCTAGCAGTGCTCAAGGCCAAGTTGGACTGTGCTTGGAGCAACCTGGAGCTTCCACTTGGAGCAACCAAGTGGAAGATGTCCCTGCCCGTGGTTTTAAGGGTGAGCTTTAAAGTTCCTTCCAACCCAGACCATTCTACGATTCTATAATAACTGCATCAACAGACAGCCAACTACTTCCCAGCAGCAAGAAAATTTCAGCATCTCAAGCTGCATACTCTAATTTCATACAGGTACAGTGGCAGAAAATCTGAACCTGCTTGAAGGCACTGAAGGTTCCACCTCTCTTATTAAAGCTGCATCTTATAAACACAATGTACTAGAGACTTCATACTGCAGTAGAAAGTTAATGTAAAAAGGAAGACACAAGCTTTCTGTAATCATAGCTCTTGTTTTAGCCAGCAGACCATCCTCTATCCTCGTAGCTTCTATGTGATAGTATTTTTGTTTAGGTATGAAATGTTGAATACTGGTTGTTCAATCTCAGCTAGCAGACTTGGAGTGCATGGGTTTAGTTTAGTTTCAGCAATTGTCCCAGTTAAGACTAAGCTTTTTAATGAACAACATGAAATTGCACATCTTAAGACTTCAAAGACATGACACTAATCTTTTCTTAAGCCTTTTTAAGATGGAAGAATCCTGGCTACTTTATATTTTCATTAAATTAGGCTGAAGAAGTAGCTAACTGGCTTTCCCTGTAGTAGTGCTGCACCGAGCACTGTTTTGAACAGTCTGTCATGCTGGAAGTCCTTCAGAGCGATGGGAAGGTGGCTGCTACCCACTGGGAAGCAGTGTTGGGTGGTTTGCACTGAACCAGCTGTAAGTGGGGGCAGAGAGGGGCAACTGCGCAAGGAGGATGCCCCGAACTGACTCGTGTAGGTTGTCACCCACATCACATGAAGGTGTCCCAATTAAGTGAAATTACCATCCCAATTAAGCAGCTGTCCTTGCCACAAGTATCATTAGGTGTAAATTGATTCCTTGGGAAGCATCTTGATTAAGTAGAGTTTTCTAATTAAGCAGTGCACTGCAGTAGTTAATGAGGATTTATAGATCAACGCAGTAAGCTGCAACAGCTTCTTGCTTGCCAAAGCTAGATTTATTTATGTTTTATCAGAACTTTTAGGTCATTGATGTCTGTCATGCCAGAGAGGTTTAGGATTAAGTGTGAGTCATGGTACAGAGAAGGGTTTGTTGATTTTTATCTTGCCATTCAAACACACATGAGAACCCTTTTGAAAGACCATTTATGTACCACCGATAAAAGTTGTGGGGATCAGATCACCGCTGAGCAATTCAAAAGCAAGTTTATTATCTAACTGCACATTAGAACACACTTCTAAATTCGAAAGACCACATTATGATAGAGTGCATAGTTTGTGTGGTTTCATGTAATTTACTAATAAAAAAGCCAAACAAAAACAACAAAAAAAAGAAAGACCCAAATGTCCATGTCAATTAAAATTAAGAGCTGAAATCAGAAAATTTACTTTTTCTATGTAAAGTAGATGCTAGTAAACCCTGAAGTTTTAGCACCCTGATATGGCTTTACCCAGTCTTTTTAATTCTTAAATGTGAAAATGTTTTTTCTCCTTTGTGAATTATCAAAATTTGTTAGCAAAATTTACACTATAATTGCTCTTCAAAGTCCTCTCCAATAGCTTTGAAAAATGTAGATTCATCTGCATAGCTAAGCGTTACTGGCACAAGGAAAGATGGGAGCTAACAGTGTAGGGGAGGACTTTCAATCATCTCCAGTGGCAGACACGTATCCAAGGAAAACCTACAAACTTCTTGCTGTTTCTGGACATGGTGGCTGGAAAACCTGAAGAAGCATCCAGCTGGCTTTATTCTACACATACTGGGAGAAGTACATGGGAGAGCTACATGGGAGTCAACGTGGGAGCTGCACTAGGACTTTCTAAACACAACAGGTCATGAAGGCATGTTTGCTGAACACTCCTTTCCTCAGCTCCTTTCCGCTTGTTTCCTATGAATTAGCTGCACATGAAGCACACGACGTCCTGCGAGTGTACAATTTCATTGTACAGCTTTTAACAAAATACACAGAAGATGTAGAGCAAATTTTTTTTCCAGGGAACTGTGCCAAAAAGTACCATTTTGAAAGACGTGGTGGAGCAATTTGTTCCCAGCTAATAGTCAGTGGTAACGGTTCAGCAATTGTTACTAATTTGGAGCTACATTTATTATTCAAGCTGAATTGTATAAGAAACTTTTTCTCTTTTCTTTTCTTTTTTTTTCTTTTCTTTTCTTTTTTCTTTTCTGTTCTCTTCTCTTTTTTTTTTTTTTTCTTTTTTTTTTTTTTAAATTTTATTAGAATTTGAGTTTGGTCAGAAAGGGGATAAGGCAACCCATATACCCAGCCAAAACAGCCTAAAGTTGGTGCCACTTATCAGGTAAGCTTTAAGAGCTCTGCAGGGTTCTACCCTGCCCTGGCCACTGCATTCCTCAGTGCGTTGATACCCTCCCCGCTATGTTTGTTACTGCTTTCTTCAGCAGTGGCACACCCTAAAACTGCAGATGAAGAGAAAATTGCTTGCATCAAAGAGAGCTGAATCCCGCAACTCTGCCATGCTTCCTTGAGCTGGGTCTCAGGTCAAACACGCAAGAAACTGGAAGAACGGCATTTGTATGTGAGATCCAGCTCACAGCAACTAAGGTTTAATGAGTACTGAAGGACGTCCAGTTCTTAGGAAGCTGCAAAGCTGTGCTGAATGTTTGCCACAGTTGGCAGCTATGGTATAAAGTATCCAACGCACAAGCAGATTGCTTTTGTACTGTAACTAACTAACTTATGTGACAAGTCAGTCATGCTGCCTTCACACGCAGCAGATCACACTGCTCTCAG